AAAAAAAAAAACAACAAAACAAAAAAAAATTATCCCTCTACAGTTTCAATTCTATGAACAACAGGCTTTTTATATTTCCATATATTGTTAAGCTCTCTCCCTGTATTCTGACTTGGAAAGAAGATACCTAGCTATTGTGCCAGAGGCAGTTCTCTCTCGCATGTGCTGGGGTCCTTCTGCAATAGACGGTATTAGGTACCTTCTTTCTTGGTTTCATTGAAGTCTGCCTTTAATTGATGGTTGCTACTGAGTTTTCTGTTCATTTTGTTTTTGAAGCACCGTTGTGCTACAGCACTGGCATTAAAGGATTTCTTTACTTGAGAAATATGGGCTTTGTGGGAATTAACTGCAATGGCTCTAGTCAAGTATAGCTATGGAACAGCTTGGCTAGGAATCCTTTCCTGCAGAAAAATGAGGCTGCACAGCAACCTTTTCAAGGCGCGAAGCGTACTCCTTCTGGCATTGAGATAATCATGTGTGTGGCTACATTGTATGCATCGAAGAGACAAGGGAAAATATCAGCACAGAGGTGCTGATGTTGTAACAGACAGATTGGTTCAAAAGTCTTCAGACAAATCTTTAGATATCTCTTAAACTTCTGCTGCAATTCTGAAGCTGTTATGGTTCATCCACAGAGCACCAAGCCCTTAGTTCTGCTAGTGCTGCTCAGGTGGGTTCTAGCTTGCTGGGACAGATTGATGACTGGGAGGCGGGTCCAGGGCATCAGCTGCTGGTGTCCTAAGGCTGTAGGGAAGTGGTGACTCCACTTAGCTGGTAGAGTCTAGCTGCTCCCCTTTAAGAGAGTCAGGGGACGAATACAAATAGAGCATTAGAGGGCAGTGGAGGGAGCTTGGAACAGATCTAGAAATGCAGAGGGAGAAAGGCTAGGACAGGACCTGTGATGTTCTGAGGGGATGTGGTTGGTGACAGGGCGCATGCATGAGCAGTGAAGAACATTATCTAATCCAATATCTCCCAAGCAGGGGGAGAGTGGGAGGGGAGCAGGAGAGGGTGACAGAAAGCGAGGGATTCTGTAGGAATGATATTTATGGGACTTTCTATTTTGGTCACTGGGTTATGCGCTCTCATATTCATTAATTACTGTGTTTGATTATATGAAATAATGTAATTTTTATGTATTTTTTTTTTTTTGGTGCTACAGAGCATTGAGCCCAGGGCCTCACATTTGCCAGAGAAGCGCTCTCCACCACTTAGTTGCATCCCAGCCCCAAACAATGTCACTTTAAAATAATTTATTATAAGAGCAAGTTGGCACACTGAAACTGTCCTTATTAGCCTATGCTGAAATGGGGAATCCTGGGGATTTCTGAATTCTTTGTCAGGGAGATTTTTAAGCTCTGGGAATGGATGGAGGGAATTTTTTCATCCTTTCCTTTTCAAACACAGGGATTACAGTTTCAACACATATTTTAGCAAACTGTCGTTGTCGTTGGTTTATTTGCATTAGACACGTTAATAACATCCAAGTGATGCCAAGGCCTCAGCAAAGGAAAGAAAGAGAAGTCGCTCACAAGAGCAGTGGGGACGGCTTTGCTGAGTAAAGGACCTGTGTTCTGCTTCCACATCAGGACATTCTTTAGAGCGAGGTGAAGGTTGTAGAAGTCTGGTGTTTTCACCTTGCTGCCTTCTGCTTGCTTTTCTTTAACAGCTGCGAGGAGGGCTACACGGGGTCCCGGTGTGAGAGAGTTGACCTGTTCTACCTGCGAGGAGGCAGAGGACAGATTTTGGTGATTTGCTTAATAGCAGTGATGATCATTTTTATCATTCTGGTCATCGGGGTCTGCACATGCTGTCAGTAAGTATTTTTAAACTTAGTTTTCAGTAAATTGGAGAAATAGTGTTTTGCCCTTGCTTACTACTTTGCTTCCTACCTTCTCCTTCCCTTTTGGTTTGCTTTGAATAAACCCTGATTTTGAGATTTGTTAGTATTATTGAGGTATTTGTAATAAAACACATAAAAATTTTTTATCATCTTAAATTATGATTTAAAACAAAACTTGTACAACTCTTTCAATTACAGCTAATTATTCAGTCCTAAAGTGAGGTGCATTTTGTATTAGTTCCTAGGTTCACTAGGGCTTTCATTTCCTGAAATGTGCTGTGACACAGTAACAGTGAAAAACAGATACAAACAGAAGCATTTTTTCCTCAGTTGGCCCCATTAAACAATTAATTTATGTGCAAATGGTGGTTACACCATCCTCCCTTAGTTTTCACAGTATAACAACTTTGGGAACCAGAAATGCCTGACTTTTGCTTTGAGGCAGAGTGGCACGGTACACTTCTGACTGAAGCCAGTTTCTTTGACACCTGACATCTTTCTCCAATCACCGCAGAAACATCCCACAGTATGTGGAAAAGGCATCTGACTAAAGTCTGCCCATCTGCTCTCAGGAGCCAACCCAGGCTCTGTTGTTCTTTTCTTTTTCAGGGTGTCTGCCTTCACTACTCCTGTTAATGTGGTACTTGAGACATAAGCAGGAGCAGTCAGGCAAGGGGAAGAAGTAAGAGAGATACATGCAGGAAGGGGAGAAACTGAACTAATCTTCTTGGCAGACAACATGGTCCTTCCTTTACAGAGAAGACCCAGAAAGTTGCTCAAAGGCTATAAGAACTAATAAACAAAGTCAGCAAAATAGCAGAACATAAAATAATACACAAAAATCAATAGTGTTCCTATACACCAACAACACTCCCACCAAGAAAGAAATCAGGAAAATAATAGCTCCAACAACAGCTTCAAACAAAATTAAATACCAAGGAATTTACCTAACCAAGGAAGTAAAAGACCTCTATAATGAAAACCTCGGTACAGTACTCTAAAAAAAAAGAGATGGACAAGGATATCAGGAAATGGAGCTACAGTCTCCCCTATTCCTGGATGAGCAGAACCAGCATGGTTAAAACAGGCATATTACCGATACCAAAAGTATTCTTCACAGAACTAGAACAACAATCCTAAGATTTATATGGAACCAGAAGAGACTCAGAATAGCTAATTCCTGAGCACTGAGAGCAAAGCAGGAAGCATCACAATCTTGAACTTGAAGTTACATTACAAAACTACGATGATAAAAATGGCATAATTCTGGCACTAAAAGAGACATGTGGATCAGTGGAACAAAAGAGAAGACTCAGAGGCAACCCCAGGCACATTCACCCATCTTCTCTTTGACAAAGGGGTCAAAAGCATATACTGGCAGAAAGAGAGCCCATTTAGTCCAGCTTCCTAAGTGGTTTCATCGACTTCTGAGCTGTAGCCTATACCCACAAGGGTGCCTGGTGATTCCTTTCTTCACAGTGCCCTGGGATACAAACCCGAGCATGGAAATGTCTTTGACTCTTAGGTCTGCTCTGCCCTTGTGTCTCTTTGAGACTTTGGATAAATTTCTTAATCTCTGAGAACTTTAATTGCATTTTCTATAAAACGAAAACATTAAACCAGCTAATCTACAGGGTTCCTTCTAGCTATAAAATTAAAAAATACTTTTGAATTTATATACCTTAGGGTGGTAGGAAATATTTATAATGCCAGGTCTGAGGAAGAGGCTAAGTGGTCCAGACAGAGAAGTGGGCTATTTGGTAACAATAACTTTGAATGGCACTTCAAGAAACTGGAAAATAGTGCAGAATACAGTATTTAACTACTTTCTATGGGTTAAACTGTCTAGAAGCATAATTGATATTACCAGAGGCTGCTTTCATTCTCTTGTTTTATTTTTTAATGCTTGTTACCAAGTTCTACTGCTTTTATCTTTATACTCTAAATAACACTCCTTGTTCTACTTTATAAAATGACATGGCCTGGAAACTTGTCTTGGACTCTTAAAAACATCCATCAGTCATCAGCTGTGTAGTCTGCCTGTTAGATAATGCTTCTCTAGCCACATTGTCGCCTGCTGTAGCTATCAGCTGACCCTAGAAAAAGAGATGAGTTAAAGGAGAACCCAAAATATTTAAGAAAAAAGGAACCCATGCATTTTTAACAGGCGAGACATAAGATCACAGGCTTTCTGGTTGAATAATTTTATATTTGCTTGAATTAACAGGACCATATTAATTTCTAACATGTTATTTTCTAAGTCCTCTTCGGAAACATCGTAAAAAAAGAAAGAAAGAAGAAGAAAGGGAAGCTTTTGGTAAAGATATGACTCCTGTGAATGAAGACATTGAAGAGACTAGTATCGCTTAGCAGTAAGTACGCTGAACTCAGGAGACGGAAACTGTCCAGGTGACCTCTTAAGCAGTGAGATGGTCTCATGACCATTGGCTGGAATTTGTTTGAGCTTTAAAACATTTAAAAACGAGTTGGTGGCTTTCTTCATAGAACTGGAGCCCAAATAAGGGACTATGTCTTATGTTTCTTCTCCCTGTAACCTGCACGTCATGTGTCTCTTCTGCGTGCATTCTACTTTTGCAAGAGGTTGTGGCTATTTTGTTTCCTTCATTCTCATTTGAAGAGCAAGGGTTGAGGTGTTTTCACTTACACTTACTGAGCATGTGCTAGTACTGTTCCAAGCTCTTTCAGTGTCGTCTCAGTCAGGGGCCCAGCAAGGGTCACGAGTCCTCTTAGGTCAACCATGGAAGAGGTTTTGGTGGCCCAAGGGCAGCTGAAGGGAACTGCAGGAAGCTTGAGGTTCTCAGCAGCAATGGCAAGGAGCTGTTGCCCCTCCTAAGCCTGCGGCTCTGGGGTAGTTTTCACCCAGCACTTGGAGGTGCTCTGGACAAGAACCCACCAAGCAGGAGCCACAGCTGTGGCAGAAACAGGCCCCACTGAGTCCTGCACAGCGATAGAGGAGGAAATAGTGATACATCCCTGATAGGGTTTTTGGCACAGATAAAAACAGAGCCAAATGAAAAATGCCTTTATTGTGGGCACAGAGAAGACCACAGCAGAAAGGAGAGATATAGAGCTTCTGAGGGCCTGGCCTGGAGGAACAAAGGCTCTGTAGGGCCAGGCTGGGGGTGGAGTTTAGGGGATGGTCTGTGTGACTTGGTGGGCAGTAATTGGACAGGGGTTGGGAGAACAGAAACAGGATGTTGTAAAAAAGGAAGTGGGAAGTTGTAATATGATCAGGGAGGAGGAAGGTGGAGCCTGCCACATGGCCTCCAGTGGGCCCCGCCATATTGACTTGCTGCCATGATAACTTAGCAGAATTTGTATTAAGGCAGAAAACCCATCAATCCTCAGCTCTCCTTGCCAGCCTTCAGACCTCTAGCAGCCGCCTCCGATAGTAAGCCCAACCAGAAGCTGAAGGCACGGGAATGGTGATGTGATCTACAGCAGTCAGCAAACTGGAGACAGGGCAGGGCAGACAGGTGCAGAGTAGCAGGACCAGGTAGGGCAGCATTTGTGGACACTAAGTCCAGCTCAGGCTGGCTCTGAGCCAGGGCTGTGTGCAGGCTCTTGGAGCAGCAGCCCAGAGATGAAGCAACCTTCACCATTGATTAGACCAGAGACACACACTGAAGCAGATGACTTTTCTCTTTCTGTTCACTGTTTAAAGCCTGGGCTTCACCCTAGTCTAGTTCCTCTAGGACACCAGGAGGCCCATAGCAAGTGCACTTTACGCTTTCTGTCCCCAGCCAGCATGATGGAGCAGTGGCTTCCATAGCAGCCTCTGCAGTACCATCTCCTGTCCCCGGCAGCCAGCAACTTCCTATGTATAATACTGTAAATGCCTGTGGAGGAATTACAGGGTGCTCCTAACTCATTATAAAGAAATACTAGTGCAACTCCAGACTTTTATTGCTGTTATCATTCCTATGGTATGTTTCTTTTAAGTAACTGTTCTTTATCACCCACAGACCATGAAGGCTTCTCCTGCGGGTCCAAGCTACACACTGCCCTGCTCCTTTGAAAATGGACGGAACATGTCTCAGGAAAACAACTCAGAAATGAGCTTTACATACTGTACTTGTTTTATATGTTAACTTTAGTTTGTGTCATTTATTGTTGTTTTTAAATAATAATAATAATTTAATTATAGCCTAGCAATTGGGAAAAAGCACCTGGTGAGGTAGCAACAAAAAGAAGCAACGTTTCAGTAAATTTCCACTCAAGTTTTATCACCAGGATTGTTAGTCAAGTAAAATAAAAGCGGGAAAGAGTTTAGATTTTGGGAGATTAATTAATACTAAAGTTACCATTTTCACGTGCCATGTGCTAAGGGTCTGAATATATTACTTCATTTGGTCCTTTCAGCAATCTGTGAGAAAGACACTGTGATTCTCATTTCCCAAACAAGGAAAGAGTCCCAAAAAATGATGCATAATCTAGCTTACCTCTAGAGAGTTAGGAGTCACTGGGAATTAAAACTAAGCCTTACCCTGCTTTGAAGTTGGTGCTTTTACTACCCTCTTCGCTCATCTGGCTGGCATCACCTAAGTCAGCAGCACAGGCTGGCATTTCCTGCTGCGTCTGTACCCCTGACTGTCAAGGCCACATCCCTGCAAGGACACAGGGCACAGAGCCCTGGCTGGGTGGGTGTGACCACTGTGTCTTTCTAGAGTTGACTTTCTTACCTTTCTTTTCTTCTCTATAAAGTCTCAGTGACACGAATGAGTTGGTACCTTATCAAAGCCAACAGATCTGTTCCGTAACTAGAGTAATGAACAGAGCTGGGAAAGCAGATGCGTGGCATCCTTTAGGTCCTGCTGAAGTACGAACACCCAGCAGAGTATAAAGACAGCCCTGGGAGAGACTGAGCCTACAAGGGACAGCACGTCAGGCCTCAGGCAGAACCTGGTGTGGTCATACCCTCACTTCTGGTTGTTTCTCACAGCAGCCCACAGCGCTGGTCCAGGAGAGACTAGGTGCAGTAATTTCATGACTAGAGCATCCGTTACCTGATCAGTTCTGCCAGAGGCTCCTTCAGCCTCATGGCCTATTTAGTAAAGACTGTGCTAGCCCTGAAAAGGTAAAATCTAGATTTAGCCAGTATTCCACAGGGTATTCACTCTCCACCTTGATAAGTTGAATTGCTTATGCAAACCAGTGAAAGATGTCCCCAAATTGCTGCAATCTGTGGCCATCAGCTAAGCAATATCTCCTTCCAAACCTTGGATTCTGTAGCCAACATGAAGCAGAGCGTTCACACCAAAATCCAGTCACGCATCTGGTCCCGTGTGCAGTATTTGGGAGAGCCTACTCTGAGAGTTACATGTAATGCAGCAAAGCTTGGCTACTAGCAAGAGCACAGTCACACAAGTGGTGACATTTGACATCGGATTATTTTTCCTTCTGACTTAACCGCCACCCTTGAAGCAGGATTGTACTCGACATATTTCAGTGTGAAATATGTTTTATTTCCAAAGTTTCCTGTGGGCTCCTTTTGTCTGCTTTCCTCCTCAGTCCTCTTTGATATCGAGAAAGCTTGAGAGAAATGCCCCTCAGAGCATTGAGAAACACAAAGCAAGCCAGGAATGTTTCTCTGCTGGACTGAGGTTGGCTGACCAACGAAGTCTCTCAGGCCAGTTCAGGCTTGGGAAGATTGCTTTGATTCTACTATTTTAATGATGCCTTTTGAGATTCTGATAACAACACAAAATTTCAAAGACTCATATCTTTTCAAAGTGTGTCTTATAATTTTTTTGCATATATTAAATGACTGCTTATGTAAACTATCAATATTATGTCATAAAATAAATTTATTTTTAAAACAAAGCAAATATATTTTTACTACTTGGGCATTTTCTATTGGTACCATTAATTGTTAATAGAAATAAATTTGAAAATTATTGCTTTAAAAGCATACTTTATAGAAACCATTCATGCATTTGAAATGGTCTGTGCTGACTGTATTTTCCTTAAACACGGAAGTCCGGGGAAGCCTGGTGCACACCCCTTGCTACGTCTGCCGGCTCCCAGAACTCGTCCTTGAGCTTCACCTCCAGCTGCATGTGGTTGGTCTGAGGAGAACACTTAATGAGGCCAGGCCACTTGGGGTCATTCTGAGAAAACTGGAACCTTGACCTGAAGACCATATTCTTTGGGTTCCTGACATAAAATGTGTGTTTGAAGCTGTTAATAGTTACATTTTGTTTCCTGTGGACCAGGGAAGCAAAGGAACCTGATCAGCAGAGAGAAAGGAAAGATTTGGGCAAACACTCAGGGGAGAAGGGGTGGGATGTACGATCCCTGCAGACCGTATCCTCTTTACAGTGTCGTTGGGGGTTAACTTCATTGCTGCCCGTGGATTTCACAAGACACTTCTGTGTCTACGACAGCTTTCTCGCTTGGCATAAGCGACTTCTCCCCAGCTGGAACCAGGATCATGATCAACTCAGTGGATTCTGAGATTGTGGACAGAGTTTCTTATTCAGAAACGATGCCCTCTAAGAAACTGAAGAGCAAGATGTTGTTGTCACACAGTGCTGGGATTGTGTTAGAGGAACATACCTAGCGGTGAAACTCATTTTTTACCATGCAGCCATTTTGGGGAGCACAGAGAGAGAACAGGTTTAGTAAGCATGGATCAGCACTGCTGTGTCCCGGAAGCTGTGCACCCTTGGGGCAGGACCCAGAAGGGAGTCAGACATGGCCACTCCAGACCCCAGCTCTTAGCAGCTGACTAGGGGACCCGCTGTGCACAGATCATTTCAGTATGGACTGGTGTGGCCGTGGCTGGTTTCAGGTGCCTGCTTGCATGGATTAAGGCATACAGGAGCTCAGTGTTCAATTATTTGCTGTACATGCTTTCAGGGAAACTGTCCTGTGAGTGTGCAGGGATCGGTGGATCCTCACCACCATCAGGGCCTGGAGAGAACATATCCAGAAGGGACCCAGCCTTTCCTCTGGGAGGGAGGTAGATTTCTTTTCTGCTCTCTTGGGTCTCAGAACTTCAGGCCCTTGGACCTTTGAACTCCAAGATTTACACCAGCAGCCCCCAGATTCTCAGTCTCTCAGCCTCTGACTGAAAGTTATACCATTAGTTCCTCTGGCTGTGAGGCCTTTGGGTCTGGACTGTGTGTGCCACATTGCTCGTATCCCCCAGTCTCCTGCCTGCAAAGGGGCTGTGCTGGGACTCTTCAGGTGCCTTGGTGGCATGAGGCAATTCCTTTCAGAAGTTCTCTCTTGGCTGGCTGAGTACACTTCCTGCTGTGTCACCCTGGAGAAGCCTGACTACTACAGGTGCTCTAGGAGAAGCTCAGGAAGGAAGAGGATGTGGCAGGCAGAGAGAGGACCCGACACTCCGAGAGGACATTACACCTGAGCTGATGACGGGCTCTGAGAACTAAACATCGCTGCCCCAAGTACTGTGCAAATGCCCCTAGCTCTTGAGTCCTTATCAAAAACTCCAGCAGTTGAGGGACCAATGGGAACTGCCATAAGGGAATAAGTAGGGAAGAGGGTGGGGTTGGGGGCTTGGTGTTTTGTTCCAGGTGTCCTAGGCATGGCAGGCAGTCTGTGGGTGCAGGGGTGGTGGAGCAATTGTCCTGGAATTGCTGGTGTTATAGGATTATGTGATAGGCTGAGTTAAACTTTTTACTTCCTGCGGTGAGTTATTTAGGCCCTTCAAATTTTCCTGTGAAAGAGCTTTTCATTTCCTCTTTCATTGCCTGTGGTCAGAGAAATTTACAGAGATTGAAGTAAAATGTTATGCATCAAATAATTGCTATTTAAGCAAGACCCAGTCTGTGCAAAGTTTTGTGAAGGAAGTCAAGGGCACATTTCAGTGACTATGGCTTGACTATTAGGACACTGCCTTTAAAAGACCACATTTGTTCTATTCTGTGCCAGATGGTTAAGATAGCCTGGACATCTTGGGGCATTATTACCATTCATTCATTCATAGACAAGTATAAAGTCCCCATTAAGTGTTCATCAAGTGCCAGGTACTTTAGTTCCTGAGACTGAACCAGTTACATAAAATATTTTAAAGACAACAACCCTGTAGAATTTATCGTCTAGTGGACCTAATCTTCATAGCATGGATTTTAAAACAAGACACATCCAAGAAGTTGTGTTACCCAAATGGCATTGTCATCAAGCGTAAACAATTGTCTTGAAGTACACAAGATGAACTCTCACAAGAGAACCCACGGGACATCTGGAGTTGAAAATTCCTCTTGACCCTGAATAATGTGCCTATTGTAGAAATGACTAGCAGGAGCACAAAATGTACAACTATGCTTCTTTTGTGTAAAAATCTTTGCTTATGCTTTTGTTGGCAATACCTGATGAGTATTGGTGCTATCCTGGGCATCTGTTCTTCTTCAAAAACTGCTCCATGCTTTGAGCATTTCCTGCAGAGCAGGACTTGCATAAAAGCCCAGGCTGTCTGTCTGCATTGTCTCTGCACGCGGGAATGTGTCTTATAGTAACATTGAGATGGCATGTCTGTAAGCCTTTCATTCTTCCCTGGGACCTGTCAGGTATTGGTGCTTAGAATTCTTCATTAGAAATGTATATAAACTGTGTATCTTCATAAACTGCAACAGTAATTACTGTTCAACAGGTAAATAGTAGGAATTGTTTCTGGAAATTTCAAAATGTGGATTTCAAGGTGTGTTTAATATACAATTATGGTCAGTACTTGTGTTCTCAAATAAATATTAGCCAAACATGGTTTTAAAGGTCTTTTCCCTACATATCTTATTATTCTCACCAAATTTAAATTATACAAATAAATAAATAAAATACAACAGAGGCACTTTAAGAGGCTTGCTTTCCTTGAAATAAACATAATTCTTCGCAGACACAGAACTCCTTAATGCTGCTCACTGTGAAGGCAGAATAATGAAATATTCTGAAACTCTGTAAGCCAAGGTGGACAATGATGAGCAGTGTGATGGTGTTAGTGAGAAGTGAGAGGAAAAAACTGTATCTGATTTGCTCTCTGAAGCTGTTTTTCAAAGACTGAAATGTGTAAGCTAATGAAATGAACCTCTTTCTTGTATATACTTTCTCACACCCTGGGAACGTTGCTGTTTTACTGAGTGAGCCAGAAGTAGCAACTCTAAAAGTCATCTACATGGTGGTTTTTGTGTGATTGGCTGATTTTTATTTGTTTTACTCCTAAAGTAAAGATAATCTAATTTTTGAATACTATACTCCCACTCCTTTGCTTCCTTATTCCAACTGGATTTTGAAATACTTGAACTTTGGACCAAATCATTATGGAAATGCTGTGGGCATGAGGGAACCTGTTTCTCAGTCTTACAATACAAGGGTTGTGAGCATAGTATCTGTACTGAGATGGAGCTGGGCCTCAATCCCAGGTCTGCTACCTAACTGTGGGGCCCTGGTCTGATCCACAAAGTCAAAATAAATAATTAAGGAAGTGAGTCAAGAGGATTAAATGAGGTAAAGACCATAGGAGGCCCAGCCTGGTACCTGGAATAAGTACTCTCCAGGAACAAGACCAATTAGTATTGCCTTACCACCCCTCAGGCAGTACCAGTAGCGATGGTGGTAGTACCAAGGATTATGATATGCCATCCACAAGGAATTCTAGTCTGAAGTTGATCCATGATACACAGAGAAAAGTCTTTGTTCTTAAGGATACACAATCCCTATGAAGGATTGTGTTTATTCCATCAGAACAGGCCATGTGTAGGGGAGGAATTCCATCTCAATGACCAGTTCTTTAAAAAATCCCTCCTGGATAGTCCTACATTCTTCCTGTCTCCCTTACCTTCACCTCCCATAAGAGCAACCTGTGAGAACAATGAAGAAAAACTTATGATGCCACTGAAAATAACCAAAGGCCGAGGACGTTAGATGCTGCTGCTGTATGTCCACCATCGAGGATGATCTTGAGAGCAGCCTGGGTGGGGACTTGAAATGGCCCCTTGTTGTGGTTGTTCACAGGGGGCCTACATGGTGAGGGCAAGGGCCACTCCCAGGGGAGGAAGGAGCTCAGGTCAAAGGTCATGCTGCTGTAGAGCGTCCTGATCACACTTACTTTGTATCTGATTTATCTCTCCATCTCTGAAATCCCTGAAACAACAATTCATGAAATGTCCTGATGGGAAGAGCTCCACAGACTGGCTAAATAAATGATTGCTTAGACTACATAGTACACACATCTTGGAAGATGTTTAGAAAGTGAAAAACTGGACAGGAATAAAATCTGAGAACTCTGTAGCAACCTGCAAACTTCTTTTGTTTAAGTCAACCTTTCGCCTAGATTTAGCAGGGTCAGCTCTTTCTCTCTTTTTGTTTTTTGAGAGTCTGAGAAAAGGACACTGAATGTAACTACTGTGTGCCGGTTAACCAGAGAAAGCCAACCTGGTGGGGTGTGGGACGTTTCTAGACAACACAGAACATGAAGATGTCAGTAGCTAAGGAAGTATTTGCTCCTGAAGCTTTTCAAATGGATGCAGTTAGAAAGAAATTTTACTGATAACCAAAATTAACTTCACATAGCTGAGTCCACTGAGTTCAGTGTAACTTTGTTAATTTAGATTCTGCCAATCTGGAATTTGTCAGTGCCAGGCATGGACTAGACAGATGTTTATCTTTATGATAATGAAGAAATAGTAATTTTCAAAGCATCACAAGAGCAGTGTTAACCACTTATCAGACCAATTATTTAAATACAAGTTGACCAAAATATGGATTTTTTCATTAATTTTTATAAGGTATTATAATAGGAAATATAAAAACAACAATTTTATCAAATTCATTAAATACAAAAATTGACTGGTTGAGGGGCTGGGGATTTAGCTCAGTGGCACAGTGCCTGCCTGGCAAGTGTGTGGTTGTGAGTTTGAGTCCTGGTACCGGAAAAAACAAACAAACAAACAAGAAAATTGACTGGTTGAACTGACTCCTGCCCAAGCAGCACTCCTAGAAGTCAATATGCAAACAGATGCGTTGCCTGGGTGACACTCAGGGTAAACTGTTCAGTAGTTAATGTTATAAAATGTTCCAAGGCACAGGTTGTTTTTACTTCAGCTATTTTGGGGTATGGTAATGTCATCACCTTATGTGTCACTGGGTACATGCTTAAGATCCAACACCATTTTATAATAAACATCCTTCAGATTCTAAGTCAACTGATTAAATGTGACTGGAGGCTGACCCATGGGCACACATACATAAAAGTGCTGTGAGCGCAAGGGGAAAGTTAAAGGGAGAACAAGAAGAGTACAGTGTTTCAAGTGGGAGACAATACATATATACAAAGAGCTATAATGAAAAATCAAAGTGTTCATTCATTAATAAATAATGAGTATCTACTATCATGCGTAAAATGTGCCCAGTGTTAAATATATTCCTGAGTATCTAGAAAAAAAGATGAACTAGACTTAGTCTACATCCCCAAAAGTTTTATCCTCCAGTAGAGGAAATGAGAGTCTTATGTGTACAAAGAATACCTTGTTTGTATAAAAAGAGATTAAGGGACTAAGGAAGACTTTCTGGAAGAATGATGTTAGCTAGGCCAGGGGATCAGGTGGGCAGTGCATTGGACAAGGGAGCACAGGGAGGAGACAGTCTAGGCCCCTGCTGGTGTGAATGTGAATGAAGGCACAAAGGTGTTGGATGAGTTGTGAACTGGATAATTCTACTGCTTTAAAGTGGATGCCTAAGACATAGGCCTTGTGCAATATTCCTATGAATATTAATGACTTGGACAAGTACACATCTTGTCATCCACATGGAATGTCTGTTTCTGTGGAGTGTATTCTGGCTAAAGTGTTAAAATATCCTTTAAGGTTTCTATGGCAGAGCAAGGATAGGTCACCAGTTTTACACTGTACTGAGCGCACTGTACATCATGGGCATTATGGAAGGTGAAACTACCCCAGACCATAGTGGAGTCTGAGGAAAGAAGAATAATGTGCCCCTGTATACTATGATCAAAATATCCAAATAAAGTGATCAGAAAACATGGCTCTATGTCCTGGCATTGTCTACTCTGTTTGCATACTGTTGTCAAGCCTTTTACTTTTGCCCTACTGAGGACCTCAGAGCAGGGAACTGCAGTCGGGGGTCTGGAAACACTGCCCCCATGACAAAATTGTGAAAGGTTGCAGAAAGTACCACAGCCTGCATATGTTTAATCCTGATATCTTGCTCGTCATCATGGATTTTGGCATTAATTTTAATTATTTATTTTCATTCCTGAGGTTTTTGGAAGCCTCTTGTTATGGTTTGTGTCTGGATGTCCCCTCAAAGCCTCATGCAGTCGTGGGGCAGGCTTCTAGAGTTTTTGATCGATTCGTGGCCCAACGCTGGGATTATAGGTGTGAGTGCTACACCTGCCCTGGGGCAGACAGTTTACATACAGTATAAGGGAAGGAAAGAGGTTGCTTGCTGCTGCTCCCCACCTTTTGCTCTTGCTGCTTTTGCTGTTTTTCTGTGCCATGAACTGTTGCCCTCTGCCATGTGCCACTCTGCCTTGGAGCCAGCTGAGAATGGACTGAAATCTCCACAAATCATAAGCTAAATAAAACTTTCCTTCCTTAATTTTGGGTGTCAGGCATTTTGTCTCAGCAACGAGAGAAAAATAACCAAGCCACCCCTTAAAGTTTGGACCAGCACAAGTGTATACCTTGGTTGCTGACAAAAACGCAGGCCAGCTGGCTGACATTGGCTGCTTCTGCTTGTAATTTTTCACAAAGAAAATCCATTAATCCCCTCAAAATCCTCCTCTTCATGTCAAAGACATTTATTTCACTGTGCATGCCACTCTCTGAAGCAGCTCTGGAGTCCCCTTTCTTGAGTGTCTCTACTAGAAACTGATAAACTTTACATTTTTATTACACGCAGCAAAATTCTATAGGTTTAACTCAAAAAGCTTTGAGCTGAGTTTTAATGGGAACCGCATTCCTCACCAGCAGTGAATTACATAAAATGATCCAGCATCTGCATATTAGTCTGTAAACTTGATGTAACATTACCCAGTGTATGTGTGGGTGCTGAGGTCTTGAAACTCCAAGGTCAAGGCTGGCTCCGTGGGGAGGGGACCGGCGCACACCCTATGATGGGCTGGGAATGACCTTCTGCTTGAAATTCTTTTTCTTAACAAGGAAAAGCATTTTCACTGGGCACAGGGCTGCAGAAGTTATAAGGGGTGATGCAAATATGTGACACATATGTCCACGATGCTATGCCTTCATTCACCGGATCTGGTATTGTGTGACTTCTGGTATTCCCCCAAGTCAAAATGGCCATGAAAGGGAAATGTTTTGAATCCATTCAGGACATCGAGGCAACCAGGACAGTGCAACTAAAGATACTCAGGAAAGCGGATGCCAGAGCTGCTTCTGACAGTGGCAGGAAGAGTGGCATAAATGTGTTTGAAGGGAGGAGGAGGACCTTGATGGAAATAATGGCAGTGGCTTTCTCTGTGATTTATGTTTTAAAACTTAAACTTTCCCTGAAGTTTTTGATCGCACCTCTGCATGGAGCTGATCCTGGCCATGGTGGATGAGTGCCGCAGAACGGGCTGTCCACAGTTGGTTTGGGACACATGTCTGTGGAGTGCTTCCCTGTCCTCAGCAGGGGAGGCACTGTGTTAGTTACAGCTCTTGTCCTCTGAGGTGGAGAAGAGTGGAGCAGAGGACAGCAACACAGGCAGGCAGGAGGCCAGGGACCACTGGTGACTGTACCTGCAGTTTTATTTCAGA